GCTGGGGGAAGGAAGGCCTACTCTTGCACGAATTTTGTGCATTGGGCCTCTAGTAATATAAATAATGTACTAGCCTTTGATCCAGTCAGGATTTCTTTTTCTAATAACCCTCCCACAGAAATACCCACATAAGTGGGCACGAGTATTCCAGTATTCCCAAGTAGCTTCTTTGCCATATTTTTTAGAATAGTCAAAAATTATGGGGGGGGAGGGGAAGGGGGGCTGTGAAAGGAACAGTTACATAAGTGTGGTGCCTTCATATTTTGGACTCCGCTTATACGGTCAACACTAAAGGCCACACACCGTGTGAACAGGCTCCTTTGACCTGGATAACGGTGGTTGTGAGCCATTGGAGCTTCTCTATTCAGGGGCTCATGAGCAAGAGATCTGAGGACACAGATCTGACTGTTAAGCTTTGGTGTCTAAGGTTTAAAACTCGTGCTTTTCTGGAGATAAACAAGATTACTTAGATAATGGAAATGAATGGGCTCTACTGGAGGAGCCTGTTTCCATTGATGACAGCCTTTAGCTGTGGCCCTTGGGTGACTGGGAGAGCAGCAGGCTAGAAGACCTGGAGCTCCCAGGTGGCTGTTCTAGTTCTGTGATGGCTGGAGCAGTGATTCCCATCGTGTAGGCCCTGGCCCTGCGGCTCCAGCATCACGGAGCACATTAGAAACACAAATGATTAAGCCGCACCTCAGCCTTAAGGAGTCAGAGTCTCTGGAGAAAGACCCGGAAGCCCGTGTTTCCACAGTTCTGCAGGTGATTCTTGTGCAGGCTGGGTTTTGAGGAGCACTGAGGCACAGGCCCTCCTCGCTGCCCCTGCCTCTGGATCTTACCTAGTAGCAGAGGGCAAGCCCCTCAACCTGACCTGCTGTGATTCTTTATGTAGAAGAGGTTCCAGAATTCTCCTTTGGTTTTGTCGGCACTAAATGGCATTACTTTCATGCCTAAGACTATTTCTAATAATGCATACTTTATGAGTGTTTATTAAATACATGATAATTCTGCCTATGATGGCTACCGTTGGGACCAAAATTAAATTTGGTTGAAATGGAGAAAGGTGTTCTGGAAGTCACAGACAAGAATAATGCCCCAAGTCTAGTAAATACCACTAGAAAGGACAAAGAGAGTAACACATAATAAAGATTGTCTTAAAAAAACAAAAGAAAGAAAGAAACCTCATGACAGTAGCTTTGACATCAGAATAAAAGCAACTCAACCAAAAGTTTAATTTTTAACAGAAGTCTGAAATGGCTGGATAGCCACAGCTCTGAGAAAGTACTATGTTTCTAAATATGGTCTTGCTTTGCATGCATGTAGAAACAGCTTAGACAATGAGCCCTGATTTCCAGGGGCACAGTCAGAAGGGGAGCCGCTGTGGCCTATCACGCAGCCACGGACGAGGAGCCCTGCAATGAAAACTAAAATACCAGCTCCTTATCGTGGAGTTTTCATTTATATTTAGGAATGTGAGTTACGGACTTTTAATTGTTTTGTTTCAGAGGTTAAAGATGGAATTAATAGGTTTTAAGCTTGTTCTCAGAGATGACCATTTGTAAATGAATGTTTGAATTCTATTCATATTTAGCCTGCTTATTTAATTTGTTCCTCGTTGTGTACTTGACATTATAAGGTCAAGGCATGTTTTTAGCCAGAGGAAACTGGCAAGGGTCCTCCCTAAGGACAGCGCCTCCTTACCCCCTCGTGGAAATCAAAGATCATTTTCGGCCGTCCTTTGTCCTTAGTATTTTCCGGAGCACAGCCTGACATTCCCATCTCTGCCACCGTTAGCTGATTCTCAGAGGCCCTACAGCCATTGGGTCTTAAGCCAAGAAGCATCTTGACAGGTCATCTAATTTAGCCCATTTTTTCTAGCTATGATAACACCACAAAAATTCCAGCATGAAGAGACTCTTGTCATTCTAAATACCTCTAGGGAAGAATGCTAATAATAATAATAACCAACATTTTTTGAGCATTTACCACACACTCCTAGGCCCTGTGCTGAGCTCTTTTCATGTGTCATCTCATATAATCCTAACAGCACCCCCACGAAGTAGGTTTTATCATCATCTCCATCTTACAGGTCAGGAAACTGAAGCTCCAGAGAGTGAAGTCATTTGCCCAAGGCTACAAAAACGGGGATTCTTTCAGGCTTTTCCCACAAATGATTCCCATATTTAGTAACTCCCACTCCCATTCATTTACCCATTCCTGCGGTAAACATCTGTTCGGCGTCGGGTGCATAGAATTTCCCTCCCCTGCAGTTTGTAGGGAGAGACAGACACCAAAGCTTAGCCATGTGATTCATGCTGTAACAGGAACGGTGTGGCAGAGTCGTGAACATGGTCTCTGGAGAGACATTGCCTGGGTTAGAATCCTGGTTCCCCCGCTCCCTGTGTGGCTTTGAGACAGTCACTTACCATCTCTGTGCCTCCGATGCCCTCTATGTGAAATGGAGATGAAAACAGGACCTCCTCTAAGGTTGTCTCAAGGACTGAATGTCAGCAAGGGTAAAGCTCTTGGATCAGGGTGGCCACACAGTTGATGCCCCATCCAGATCTTGGTATAACACACACACGTGAAAGCTGTGGTGGGAACTAGAGGAAGGCTTGAGTGCTGACTTCCGAGCAGGGACTTGCGTGGTGGCCACTGAGGCAAGAAGGTGCAGGGAAGAGGGTCACAGCTGCAGTTTCAGTAGAGTGTTATCAGCAGACTGAGGTGGATGGAGCGGGGAGGGAGGCGGAGAGTGAAGGCAGGCCCTCAGAGGGTTTACAAGGTGATAAGAAAAAAGGCAGAAGGAAATAAATGCTCTGAGGCATGAAATGGGGAGCCGGTTGGGCTGAGAGCTCTGCTGAACTTGGAGCCGTGTACACAAGGCTAGTGGTCCTGGGCCACGCAGTGATGTGATCTCCATCCCACAGTATTCAGCTTCCTGGGTGTCAAGTGAGGAGGAGGAGGACATTGGGGATCCCCCTGCTAGCTCGTCTGCACCCTGCCTGCTGGGGAAGAGGCCTACTCTCTCTGCTCCAGGCCTTCGGGACTGGGCATCTGGTCATCTTGGGGAGAGACTCAGAGCACATTCTCCCGGCACCTTTCCCATTCAAGATCCATGGATTTGAGTTTCTGGCTTGGTCATTTTTGTGATTCTTTAGTATCTCTCCATATTCTTTCCAAATTGCTATATAATTGTCAGAGCACAAACTGTTTCATCAGGAGCTTGAGTCTATGAGTCCTACATGTTGTATTTCTACATGTCTGGGATTGTTTTCCCCTTTTTGCTTATAGTGTGTTATCTTCCCTTCCCAGGTTCTATGTCATCTACATGCCAGAAATGATTGAAAATACATGCTAGCCCTTCTTGCCTATAGCCATTTGTACATTTGGTTCTTTTTTCCCCTCCTCGCTGTTATATCAATTCATACTTTTATTAAGAACGTTCCAGTGGCAACACTTAGCTAAACCCTGGTAGATTACAGTGATGAATAAGACATGCCTTTTAACTCTAGTGGAAGCAATAAGCTATGTACAAAAATCTTTGCATGCCAAAGAGGGAGAGCTTTTTTTTTTCCAACTTTATTCTCTGTTTTATATCACTTTGCTAACATCATTTTGAATTTAGAATCTATTTCTATTACTCAGGCATACTCTTCTACCAGTTAACCATTTTTCATCATGCAGTTACAAATTAACATAGGGCTTAGGATTTATGTTTCCAAGAAACCGCTCTGAATGACTGCCCAGGACAGTGATTCTTACGCTGGGATGGGTGGAAAGAATTTTCAGAATCATGAGGAAGGAGGGCTTTTCAAAGTACCCGCCACCCATGCTTCCTCTGCGATTCTGACCTGCCGCCCTCTCAGTCCCTGCTATTTGAGATAATTATTTCGAGAGATACTGTGCTTGACGGCAGTGTGGCCTCTCTCTCAAGTGTATAGGGAGAAAAAGGCTGAAAATTCAGTGAGAGCCAATGGACACACACCTAACAAATGCTGCATCTAAATCTCTCTTCCTGCCACTGTGTTGTCATGGCAATCTTAAAGTATGCCAAGGTGCTGCTTGCCCACTCCACTGCCACATTTACTGCACCCCATGCCTGACCTGCAGCCTGAAGCCAGAGCCCCAGAAATCTCACAGATAAGGGAACAGCATAGTGATAAAGAAAGAGGGTCACTGAGTTGACGAAGAGCTAGGCAGACAAAAGCCATCTTGTATTTCAACAGCTGTTAATAACATGTAACCTATTGTTGAGCTCCTAAAACTGCTTATGAGAATGTGGCCAAAAACAGAAAAAAAAAGTCAAAACATTTAAATGTACAAATATTATCTTTTAGATTCCCCAGAGTAAACTGCTCCCCCACCCACCCCGGCCAGTTTGATGTTGTTTTTGTATTGAAGCCTGCATTTCCTATTCCCTGGTGTGTCCAAGGTACTTAGGAAATATCACGAATGTTTTGAAAATTGGGTTTATACAGCCCATGGATGAAGGGTTCATTTCATTCCCCGAAAGAAAGGGCATATTTAATTTCACTCCGTGTCTTATTTCCTTCCTCAGTAACACTTCAGGATTTGGTATTTCGGGGCATAGAAAATAGCGTAAAATAACATAGAAGTGTCCCTCAACCTCCACCTCAGAGCAGTTTTCCCTCAGTTTGCTGCAAGTGTTGTAAAGAACAGAAACAGAAGCCATTCACAGATAGTAATGTTCTAAGCTTACATCAAGTAGAGAACTATGTTAGAACAACCTCCTTAATGAAAAATTTCCCTCTTTTTTTTTCCTTTTACAGACTGTATTTCTCCATGCAAGCTCGTGGAGAGACTGATAGAGAGAAGTTGCTGTTAATGTATCAGACAAACGACCAAATAATAAACGGACTTTTCCCTCTGAACAAGGACCTGGCATTGGAAATGGCGGCCCTGTTAGCTCAGGTAACTTCCGGGGTATATAGAGTAACATTTCGTAAAGATAGAACACTAATTTCAGCACTGACTTAAATGTAGTAAAACAGTGTACCTTTAGGAATTCTTTAAATTCATTTTGCTGTGATAAACACCTTAAAATTTACAGGCATTTTAATGACAGTTTGGCTCCAAATTGCTGACAATTGCAGTGATGTGCAATGAGACAGTATTCCATAAAGGGAACCTAGTTGCTTAATTATCTTAAAGTAAACCACAAGGCTTTGCAGTTAATGCAGGAGTTTGGTGAGTGTAGAGCTGTGGGGCTAAGGACGCCATGCTGACATCACCCTCTCATCTATAGGAATCAGTTTTGCTGATATTCTCTGTCTTTATTAGGAAACCCGGGGGCCGAGCGTTAATTGTTGTACGTAGTATCTGGTAAGGCCTGGTGTTGATGGGTGCATACTGGGCACGATTTAATTGTCAGTTATTCTCTACACATTATTGTGCTCATTCTGTGTCACACAGTACACCAGCCTCAGAGCGGGGAGACACTAAGCTTGGAGATACTGCCATAGGGTTCCCTAAAAGGCAAAGTTTCCTAGAACAACCGCCATTTTTATAACTATTGTTTGTCCAGCTGCCACATCTTTGGGGGTTAAATCGTGGTCTCGGGTTGCACAGGTAGCTGAGCTGAGTACTACCTGGGGACAGGTGGGGACAACTAAAGCTTGCTGTGAGGAAGCCGTGTACTGGTGTGAGGAAATTAGGAAGGATGCCTGGCCAGACAGGAGAGAGGGATGACAGCTGAACAGCAGAGTCAAGCTAAGGAACCAACAAGTAAGAGACTGGGTCTAGGAACCTAGACAGTTATAAGAACAGACTGTAAGGATGAAGCTCAACTGAGGAATTTAGACAGTAACTGGTCAGATTAAGAGCTAAATAAGGGAAGCCAAAGGGGTCAGTATCTCAGAGGCCAGGTTGTACTAACAGCTGACCTGGAGGCCAAGGACCTTTTGGAAATGGAAACCTGAGACTTTCTGCAAGCCCATCCCAGTCTTGTTGGAGCCCTCCATCTGCTTGTTGGGGAGTGTTACACATTTTATGTGAATGTTCTTCACCTGAATATCCCACCCAATTCGCTCCTTGAGCCCTCCTTTGGTACCATATACTAGGCATTTGACTCAGTTTATCCCAAGTATTTGTTAATACTTCAGTCTCCCTACTAAACAGTTAACTCTATGAGGATAAAACCTAGGCTCGACCTTTTTCTCTCTCACATCACTTACTACAGGCCCTGACATGGTTTAGGTTTGGGTGAATGAATGGGTAGGTGAGTGGTTGGAGAGGTAGTTGGTAGTTGGATTGGTGGGCAAGCGATGGCATCTGTATAGATAAAGATTAAAAAGTCTTTCATTCGGGGAGAAAGGGGCTCTATTCCCAGGAATACTAGAATAATAAAATGAGGGGATGAATACAGTAACATGTATGGAGGAAATCTAGGAAGGAATGAATGAGAATATAGTTGTTGCTCCCATTATATTCAGTAAAGACCTTTAAAAAGTTCGTAATACTTTTATGAGATTTCCCTTAGCTTTATAACTTTTTTGACTTTCATTTTTAACTTCTATTATTATCAATTAAAATGGTATCTAAAAATGAAAATTTTTCCTGTGCTATAACAGGCAATAGTGGAGTGATGTGGCCTTTAGCAAATACTATTAGAGGGTGATATTAACCTAGCGTGGTTAATGTAGATATAGAACTGAAATGTTTAAGTTATAGATTTTTTTTCAAAATTAACATTCAAATGGAATTTAGATTTTAATAATAATACATACATATGATTATGAATTCCATAATCACACAATCATGACAAGTAGATTTATATATTATGTGTAATTATATGTTATTATATAATTACTAGGGGCCCGGTGCACGAAATTCATGCACTGGGGTGGGGGGGGTGTCCTTCAGCCCAGCCTGCCCCCTCTCACATACTGGGAGCCCTCAGGGGATGTCCTAGTGATGGCTTAGGCCCGCTCCCTGCTCCCCTTGGGGAGCGGGCCTAAGCTGCAGTCTGGCCTCCCTTTGTGGGAGGTGACCGGGCTGATCAGGGGAGGACACCAGCCCCATCCCCCCTCTGCTGCAGCCACTGCCAGTCACCGCAGCCAGCAAGGTTTTTTCATCAACACGGACTCCAGTCCCTTCACCATGAAAAAATGACAACTTTCTTTAGGCATTTTCAAGATGTGTCTTCCATATAATAATAATTTCTTTATTATTTTTTTTTATACTCACCTGAGGATATGTTTCCATTGATTTTTAGAGAATGTGGAAGAGAAAGGGAAAGACAGAGAGAAACATCAAAGTGAGAGGAACACTTTGATTGGTTGCCTCCTGCATGAGCCCTGACCTGGGC